GACGCCGCGTTTCCCCTTTTGCGGGGGGGGGGGGGGAGGATTCCGGCTTGGGTCCCGGAAGCCCCTTTGCACAGACGTCGTCGAGGAAGAGGGTTGTGGGGCCAGGTCTGTTTTGCAGTTCCTTGGAGCACAGACAGTCTGAGGGATGTGGGGTCCTCCCAGCCACCTCCCATTTTATTGACAGAAAGAGATGGAAAGAGAAGAGGAGGAGGAGGAGGAGGAGGAGGAGGAGATTGGATTTACACCCCGCCTTTCACTCAGAGTCTCAGGGCAGCTTACAAAATTCTTTTCCTTCCCCTCCCCACAACAGACACCCTGGGAGGTGGGTGGGGCTGAGAGAGCTCTGAGAGAAGTTGCCCTTTCGAGGACAGCTCCTGTAAGAACTATGGCTTGCCCAAGGTCATCCAGCAGCTGCAAGTGGAGGAGCGGGGAATCAAACCCGGTTCTCCCAGATTAGAGTCCGCGCACACTTAACCACGACACCAAACTGGCTTCTAGTCCTCAAGGCTGTGAAAATATGCTGGAAAGCAAGCTCGCAAACGCTTGCCACAATCTAATTTCCTGGTTTGCGGGAAGGAGACTCAGAGAACACGCACCTTTTACAGATGGGGGGAATAACAAACGTAGAGTCACTCCCTAAGAATTTAAGAGAAGCCATGTTGGATCAGGCCAATGGCCCATCTGGTCCAACACTCTGTGTCACACAGGGGCCCCCCACTTGTTCCCCAGAGAGCACTAAGATCGGGGTCCCAAAACCGTCTGGCCCTCCCAGGCCCTAAAGAAGCCAGGTGAGCTGTGATGAGGGACGGGGCCTTTTCTGCGGCGGCCCCTTACTGGTGGAATGAGCTCCCGGATGACATCAAGGCCCTGCGGGACCTTTTACAGTTCCGCAGGGCCTGCGAGATGGAGCTCTTCCACCAGGCCTTGGATTAGGGGCCGCCTCTCAACATCGAGACCCTGGCCCCCCAACATCAGCACCAACTTAATATTTTATAGCCGGGCAAGAACTCAGACTGTGGTGGCAATTTGACTATCTAGATGCTGAGACAACGCCACCACCGCTTATCAGTATTATGTTTGCTAGCACTTTTTTGCACATGTTCTGGTTTTAACTTTATTACTGTTTTAATGCATCTTGCTGTATTTTTAATGTATTTATATTTATACATATTTTTTAAGCTGCCCTAAGCCTGCCTGGCAGGGAGGTTGGGATACAAGTTAAACAAATAAATAAATAAATAATAAGAAGAGTTGGTTTTTATACCCTGCTTTTCTCAACCGAAGGTAGTCTCAAAGAGGTTTTCAACTGCATTCCCTTCCTGTCCCCACAACAATCGCCTTGTGAGGTAGGTGGGGCTGAGAGAATTCTGAGAGAATGGTGACTGGCTCAAGGTTACCCAGCGAGCTTCATGAGAAGGAGGAGTGGGGAATCGAACCCGGTTCTGTCCAGATTAGAGTCCGCCGCTCTCCACGACTGCACCACGCTGGCTCTCACACACAGCCCGCCCACGCCGGCCTCAGGGTCTCTGGGATCTTGATAAAAGTTTTGATGTGGGTTTTTCTTGGCTCTTATGCAAGCACGACTACTACAAGACAAACAGAAGCAGAGCTGGTGAGAAAACTCTGTCTGGTCTTGCCTACCTTTCTCCTTGGCCATCTCCCGCAGGCAGAAGTAAATCACTCTGGCGCCCAGGCTGAAGCCGATCAAAGTCACAGGCCGCCTGCCCTGCAGGGGAAGACAAACGGTACCTGGAATTCTTGCAGCAAGAAAGTGTCTAGTCCTTATCGAAACGCTGCTGGAATGTAAATAAAGGTGCACAAAGGAAGCAGGTGAAATACCTGCTGGTACTGACACCATAGAAGTCGACACCAGCCTGAGCATGGAAGAAACAGGACAAGACTGGGAAACGTGGAGGGAGGCTGGCCCAGAGAATTGCCAAGAGTCAGACACAACTGAATGGCTAACAACGACACTGTCTTATGCTCTGACCTGAATGGCCCAGACTAGCCTGATGTTGTCGGTTCTTGGAAGCTCACAACAAACAAGACCACGGTGTACAGTAACTAGCAAAACAATAAATCACCGTGTATACATATACAATATAAGCAGATATTTATATATAATGCTTTTAGAAATCAATTGTCAGCAAAGTTACAACTATAACATTATAGAATGCGATCTTAGGCTTGGCAGTACATATGAAACACTACAGTATATTCTCAGACAAACGACGGAGTCTACAGTATGTGATATTTGGCTCAGCTTCCCTCAGACATACTGTGGACTCTGTTACATGAGAGCATATTAGGAGCTCCCCAGTCACCAGATTAAACGCGATAACGTACAAAAAACTGTATAAGAATTTACATTGTGATATAATGCTTGCAGCACTTTATTCCATTGAAGATAAGAATACAGACAACAAACCTGAAGAAGGATCCTAGAAATCCGTCGTTTGTCTGAGAATATACTGTAGTGTTTCATATGTACTGCCAAGCCTAAGATCGCATTCTATAATGTTGTAACTTTGCTGACATTTGATTTCTAAAAGCATTATATATAAATTTCTGCTTATATTGTATATGTATACACGGTGATTTATTGTTTTGCTGGTTCTTGGAAGCTCAGCAGGGCTGGCTGTGGTTGGCATTTGGATGGGAGGCCACCAAGGAAGCCCAGGTTCCTCTCAAACCCAACATGTCCCACAGGGCCACCCCCAGAGAGGCCCTGCTTTGGAACCAGACTCGGCCCACCCACGCCTCTCCTCCTACCTGCTGCCGGCTGAGCAGGATCTGAGCCAGGTGTTTCCCTACTTCGGCCGAGCGATGCAGACACACTCCCCAGGGGTTGTCGATCACGCTGGCGACCGTGAGCAGTGAAGCAGGCCAGGTGAGGGCTGTGACGATACCTGCCAGGAGACAGAACCAACCAGACAGCTAGAAGAGAGCCAGTTTGGTGTCGTGGTTAAGTGCGCGGACTCTAATCTGGGAGAACCGGGTTTGATTCCCCACTCCTCCACATGCAGCTGCTGGTGTGACCTGGGGTCAGTCACAAGTCCTGTTAGAGCTGTTCTCTCAAGGGCAGTTCTCGAAAGAGCTCTCTCAGCCCCACCCACCTCACCAGGTGTCTGTTATGGGGAGGGGAAGGGAAAGGAGATTGTAAACCATTTTGAGACTCCTTCGGGTAGTGAAGGGCAGGGTATAAATCCCATCTCTTCTTCTTCATTTTTTTAAAAAGCGGGATTGCAAGTGTTTTGCAGGCAATACTCTGCTCCAAAATTAGAACCCCCCCGCGACTGCAGCTACCACAGTTTCCAGGCTCTCGGTCCCGCGTGTGCACGATTTCTCCCAGGTTCTTACCTGCCAAGACAGTGTATTTCAAGGCTTCCTGGGCCACCATGTTAACTAATCCGTTCCACAGAGAGTCAAGGGCATTGCCCAGTTCCATCAGGTATTTGGACTCCCAGGCTAAGCAGTACTGCTCTTTGGAATGTAGCAAGCTGCTCCATGGAGCCGTAAAACTCCCTAAGAGAAAGGCACGAAAGTGCAAAATTAACAGGATCTACGACCATGAATTGCCATTTTTATTCCCTCCCCCATGTGAAGTATGTTAGCCTGAGAGGGAGAAATGTCACCCAGTGTACTTTGAGCAGAGGAGGATTTGAACGCAGGTCTCTCCAGTCCTATTCTGACATTCTAATCCCCTGCACCCTCCTGGATCCACAAAATGTGATGCAACTATGCCATCATTCTGCTGGTCTTGGGGGGATCCTGCCTGCTCCTCTCTTAGAGTCAGGATACAGGATGATCTTGACAGGCTGCAAAACTGGGCTAAAACAAACAAAATGAATTTCAATGGGGGATAAATGTAAAGTTCTGCATTTAGGTAGGAAAAATCAAATGCATAGTTATAGGTTGGGGGAGACTTGTCTTGGCCATAGTATGTGCGAAAAGGATCTAGGGGTCTTAGTACACCATAAACGGATGATGAGTCAGCAGTGTGATGCGGTTGCTAAAAAGGCAAATGCGATTTTGGGCTGTATGAACAGAAGTATAGTGTCCAGATCGCGCAAAGTGATGGTACCACTTTACTCTGCTCTGGTTAGATCTAACCTGGAGTATTGTGTGCAGTTTTGGGCACGACAATTTAAGAAGGATATAGACAAGCTGGAACGTGTCCAGAGGAGAGCAACGAAGATGGTGATGGGTCTGGAGACCAAGTCCTGTGAGGAAAGGTTGAAGGAGCTGGGTGTGTTTAGCCTGGAGAGGAGACGACTGAGAGGGGATACGATAACCATCTTCAAGGACTTGAAGGGCTGTCATTATAGAGGATGGGGCAGAGTTGTTTTCTGTTGCCCCAGAAGGTCAGACCAGAACCAACGCGGTTGAAATTAAATCAGAAGAGTTTTTGGCTAAACATTAGGAAGAACTTCCTGACAGAGTGGTTCCTCAGTGGAACAGGCTTCCTCGGGAGGTGGTGGGCTCTCCTTCTTTGGAGGTTTTCAAGCAGACGCTAGATGGCCATCAGACAGCAATGTGGATTCTGTGAACTCAGGTTGTGAGAGGGAGGGCAGGAAGGGTTGCCTCAGGGCTTAGTTCTTGTGGCCCTTTCTTACACACCCAGGGAAATGCTGACTGCCACTTAGGGGGTCAGGAAGCAATTTTTCTCCATGCCAGTTTAGCTGGAGATCCTGGAGGTTTTTGGTCATCTTCTGGGCGGGTGTGGAGGGGGAGGTATTTGTGAATTTCCTGCACTGTGCAGGGGGTTGGACTACATGACCCTCCAAGGCCATAGAGATGGAGCCAGAAAGATTCTTTTCTCGGAGGAAGCTTTGAAGCAAGGCAGAATAGAGACAGCTCCGCCTCAGTTCCCCATTTCCTTTTAATAATGTATGAAGCATTTAAGAACATTCAAAACACTTCACATGCTCTGCATGATTTCCACAGCTTGTGTTCGCCGGTGTCAGCTGTCGAGCGTTTGGGGCATTGGTGGTTGTTGCCAAAGAGTTTGTGACAATTGCAATGCCCAGTTTTTACCCTGCCCTCCAGAAGGCTCAAAGGACTTCAGCTACATTCTCTCAGTAATCTCTACAAACAGCCCTGTGAGCGAGGCCGGCGTAAGAACACACACACACACACACACACCCGGCTGCAGACGCAGGGCTGAGAGAGCAAGTGGAACGCCAAGGGCATGCGAGTTCACGGCACAGGCAAGACTTGAACCAGGGACTGCACAGATCACAGCTGATTCTCAAGTTGCTATACTATATCAGATCCTTAGACTACTATAGTATACCTGATGTGGAGACGGCCCTTGGAGACGGTTTCAAAACTGCAGCTGGTACAGATCATTCCCACAACCCATTGACAAGATTTGTTTGACGGCAGCACATTACTCCTAAATATATATATATCTGCATTGGCTACCTGATCATTTCCTTGCTGGTTTTGTCCTTGAAAGATTGGCAAGATCTGGCTGAGGTACTGAGGGGCACCGTCCCTGGCACAGCGTTCTCTGAAGGGAATGCCCCCTCTCCCCATTAGAAGAAGAAGAAGAAGAGATTGGATTTATACCCCATAGCCCTTCACTGCCCAAAGGTGCCTCAGAGCGGCTTACAAACTCCTTCCCCTTCCCCTCCCCACAACAGACACCCTGTGAGGTAGGTGGGGCTGAGAGAGCTCTGACAGAAACGGATCTTTTTCAAGAACAGCTCTGAGAGAACTTGTGACTGACCCAAGGTCATCCAGCCAGGTGAAAGTGGAGGAGTGGGGAATCAAACCCGGTTCTCCCAGATTACAGTCCGCGCACTTCACCACTACACCAAACTGGCTCTCTCATTAGAGTTTTCCAATCTGCCCCAAAGGTTCAGATCTCTTCTAAGTTGTTGTTGTTCAGTCGCACAGTCGAGTCCGACTCATCGCGACCCCATGGACTTGATCCCACCAGGCCCTCCTGTCTTCCGCTGTCCTCTGAAGTTTGCTCAGTTTCATGTTCGTTGCATCTCTGACACATCTCTTCTAAGTAAAACTGGATAAATCCAAGTTCAGCAGCACCTTAGAGGCCAACAATATTTGAGGGGTATAAGCTCTGGAGAATCAAAGCTGCCTTTTGTCAGACATGAGCAGGAA